TGCCCCCCCGAGGGTCGCTTTGCCCCCTCTCTTTCCTACCCAAACCCCTTCCCAGTTGATGGGGGCGCTTACAGTGATGTGACACCCCCACCCCCCCACCCCGGTCCCGTTTGCAGCTGGGAGAAGGCCCACCCTACGGGGAAAGAAGCAAAAATGAGCTTTGGCCATCGCAAAGCCATGTCGATCAGTCAGGACCGCTCTGAACTCTCACCTTTTGGAGTCTGGTACCCCCGCGGGACCGCAGCATCCTTCGCTTTCATTGTCACACCACTCGCCTCACTATGGTTCAAAGCAATATGGTTTTAAGTGAGCAGCAACGGCTACAGAGCCTTTTTATTTTAATTTTTTTGGCTCGTGCTGTACATAAAAGTAACATCCTTTTCCACACACCTTCAAGATTTTCTTTTCCCACTGCTAAATGCTGAAAAATCCCACCCTGAGAGGCTGCAAAAACCAAGCTAAGCCATCGCCTGCTGCACTCGGAGCCCCAGGGCTGGCTGGGGGCAGGTGGACATGGCTGTTGCGGTGCTGCGCTCCCGGCGAGGTCGGGCAAAGTCGGGACCCGGTGCCCACGCCGCACCACCCACAGCAAAGCCGACCATCCTCCTGGGTGGGTCGGGGCTCAGGAGCAGCCACCGGCACCTGAACCCCAGCAGACACCAGAGCCATGTTGTGACCAGTGTTTGGCCCCCGAGAGCAAGACCCCACAGCGGGTCGGCATCGCCTGCGCCTCCTCCCTGTGGTCCGCGAGGGATTCTCCAACCTGGCTCAGGGTGGAATTTCGAGGATGATCTCCCGGGGCTCCATAGCACCCGGTGGCCACAGCACATCGGCGGGACACCTGCAGTGGGTGGTCCGAACGCTTCAAGCACATCCCTTGGCTTCAAGCCACACCGAGAGCAAAGGACAAGCCAAGAAGCTGCATCCCAGGTCGGCTCCCAGCACCGCCGGCGTTTCCCACTCCCAGGGGAGCCAGGCAGCAATGAGGACCCCGTCTGCGGCAGCCTCCCCCAGCCCTGAGAGCCCCACCGGCTCCCAAGGGAGCGGGGAAAAGGTCAGAAAAGTGACCACAATCAAACCCAGCACAATCGGCAGGTAAAAATTATACTTTTATTTTTAATTCGAGTAAACCAGGAAGAGAATCGGTTGGTTTGTTCCATCTGATGGTTCGGTTAAAAAGGCCAAATAACATTTTTTTATTGGTGGGTGCTCAACCCAGTGGGAAGGAGTACACAAGGACAAACCCCAATCAAGCGACGGATCCGGAAGAAAACACGTTCTAAGCTCAGCACTGAGATGCAACCGGGGAAGCTGGGATGGACGAGGTCTATTTTACACGTGATGAGAAGCAATTTAGCTTTTAATTTTTCTGACTTTTTTTTTTTTTTTACTATTTTATTTATTTATTTATTTTAAATACAGGTTTAGGTGCTTTTCAGCTATGAAAAAAGGCAAAAAAGTGCATAAGTCGAGAGAAAAGGCAGAAATCAAGCAGTAAGAGGTTTGTTTCCCATAGCAGGGGAGAAGGGGCAGGGCGTGGGAGGGGAGAATTAGGACAATGGTTTCAAGGTAGCATTAAAAAAAGGTCTGTATACCAAAACATAATTGCCTGTGTTATTTGGTCCATTAAAAAACGATTTATTCACATTGATACTCCCCCCCCATTCCCAGACAAGAACGTGATCAAGAAGAGGATTAGCAGGCGGACGCAGACCCCCCCTGCCCAGCCGCCCCCTCTCCCCTGCTCTTGTGCTCGCTTGTTTTAGCACCAACCGGGATTCCCATCCCGTAAAGCCCACCCTGGCTGCTTCGGGGGTCCCATTTTCACCCTGGGGTTCCGACAGTGCCAGGAGTCCCTGTCACACTCCCCCCATCCCGTTCCAGACGTCTGGGGAATGAGTCGGGAGCAAAACGCCCCCCTCTCCCTCGCTCACGTCCTCCGGGGGGTCTCTGCCCTGCCAGGACAGCATTTGCTCCAGCAGCCCCCGACTCCGGTCACCCCAACCCCAGCACCGTCCACGCACCAGCCCCGCAGCCCCGTGGGCTTTGAGAAAGGGGACTGCGGTGGGACCCTCTCCCCCTCTGCGAGACCGTCCCCAAGGACGCGTCCCCCGGGAGAACCAAGGAATGTCTCAACTCAGCCGATTTGGTCCCTAGATTCCCTTTTCCTTTGGGAATAGCAAAGGCGGCAGCTTTTCCTCAGAAGCATCCTGACCCTGTGGTGCAGCGCAAAGCCCCGCGCAGCCCGGCGAGGGGACGGTCCCCTCCGGCTGCGTGGTTTCCGTGGTCCGGGCTGAGCCGAGGCTGCGGGCGGCCATGGGAATGCCGGAGGCAGTGCAAAGGCATCACCACTGCCCCAACATTCCGCTCCTCTGAGCCGGGAGAAAAACATCCCGCTCCCGCCCGCCCCACACAGGCTTCCAGTTATACCTGCCCCCGTCCAGCTCCGGCACCTTTGGAGCCCAAAAGAGAAGGGGACAGGGATGTGCTTTGAGATTTTGGTCCACGACGTGATCCCAACTCGGCAGTGGCCCCAAAAGCCACCGCCGCTGGGGACCAACGAGAGGGGCAGGGTGGCTCAGGGTGCCAAAACCCGGGTTCTGCCACTCAAGACCGATCTGCCGGAGGGGACAGTCACCCAGGACGGTCCCCAGCGCGACGGCAGAGGGGAGGAGGATCTTTCACATGTGGCTCAGAATAGGCACGGGGACGGGGGCTGATCCTGCCAGCTCCCCAGACCATCCACCCGGCAGGCGGAGGGCTCAGGAGGGTCCCAAAAGCCCCGCAAGCAGCAAGAGAAAAGCAAGAAGATTCTGGGTGAACTCGGGGAGCGACCACTGCTAAGAGGAAGAGGCTGCCCCGGCATGGGGGGCGCAGGGGACCCCCCCAGACCCCAGCCCAAAGACAGAAAGCCGGAGCTGCGGGGGGGGATGAGGTCTCGGTGTC